TACTCACTGCCAAAACAAGGCCAGGAGCACATTGAACCCTTTATATCAAAAAGCAGAGTAAAGCTGAAAAAGATCACCAACAGAAATATCATGCCAAAGTACAATAACATCCCAGAGGAATTTAAAGTCCACATAAAGAACAAATTTGCATTTCTCAATTTACAGTGAGCCAGAAGAACTGCAGACTGAAACTAGATACATTATTAGTGAAGAAGTCTAAAAGACAATTCCTGTAGCAAAAAAGAAAGAAAAGACCTATATAGATGACAGAAGAAAAACAGTTGCCGAGGGCAGGCAAGAAACAAAAGCAAAATGTGACTTAGATTGGGCCAGAATGGTGAATACAACTTTTCAGTGACTATCACATAGAGGCAAAAAAGAACGATTGCCATGACCAGTGCAAAGATATTAAAAATGCAACAAAAGAGGGGAAACAATAGACCTCTTCCAGAAGATCCAAGAAATCAAAGAGAAATTCAAACCTAGATGGGGAATGCTAATAGAAAACAAGGGAACATACAGTCTGATCATGAGAAAATAAAGAGAAGGGGGGGAGAATATGCAGAAGAACTATACAGATGAAAGGATGACAGAGTTCTTCAAGGTGGAATCCTATGAAGAAGAGCCTGCCATTTTAAAAAGCTGAGTGAAAGCTGCTGTAAAAGCCCCTGCAAAGCACCTGGAGTAGCTAGGATACCAACAGAAACATTCCCACCTGCACAAAATAAATCTGTCCAAATCCTAACGAAAATATGCCAACAAATATGGAAAATTAAAAGAGTGGCCCCCAGACTGGAAATGCTCAATATACTTTCCAGTTCCCAAGAAAGGAGACGCAAAAGAGTGCAGCAACCAGAGGACCGTTGCACTAATTTCCCACGCCAACAAAGTGATGCTCAAAGTATTGCAACAAAAGATACTGCTCTATATGCAGTGGGAAATGCCTGGCATTCAAGCTGCATAGGCCAGAGAATGACCTTCTCTGCAGTGACACCCTGGTTGTGGAATATGGTCCCCAGAGAGATTTGCCTGGCATTGACATTTTATTCTTTTCAGCACCAGGCCAAAACCTTTTTATTTTCCCAGTATTTTCAGGTTTAGATTGAAATTTTAAGTGGTTTTTTTATTGTGTAGAATGGATGCCGTGCTCCACTTTGTTTTATGGTAATACTGTCTCAAGACCGTTTGTTAGTGGATGGTACACGAAAGTTTTGAATGAATGAATGAATGAATGAATGAATGCAAATATAAGTAGGCTACTGGAGCACACGAAAGAAAAAGTTCAGTCTACACTTCACAGACTACAGCAAAGCCTTTGACTGTGTGAGTCATGAGAGGTTATGGATAGTTGTGAAAGAAATGGGGGTGCCTCAACACTTGATTGTCCTAAGCATACCTAGTGCCATTGAAAATAAACTACTCTTATGACAAAATCGGGATAAATCATTTTTTTCCTATAGACAAAGGCATCAGACAAGGGTGTATTTTATCTCCCTATCTGTTTAATCTGTATGCAGAATATGCCATGAGGAAAGATGGATTAGATTCAGAGGAAGGAGTGAAGATTTGGCAGTAGACACTTCCATAATTTAAATGAGCAGATGACACCAGACTGCTGGCAGAAAGCAGCAATGACTTGATGAAAATGAAAGAAAGCACAAAAGCAGGATTGCAGCTGAATATTAAAAAAACAAAAAATCACAACCACAGAAGCATTACAGAACTTTAGTGTTGACTATGAAGGAATCAAAGCTGTGAAAGAAAGTTGTGAGAAGACAGTCATGCTAGGGAAAGTCAAAGGCAGAAGAAAAAAAGGAAGGCCAAATATGAGATGGATTGGATCCATACAGGAAGCCACAGCTTGAACTTAGTAGAGCTGAGCAGGGCTGTCCTGGGGAGGATATTTTGGAGGGCTTTCATTCATGGAGTCACCTTTAGTTGGAGACACCTTGATGGCACATAACAAGGAATTAGCAATGTGCAAGGAATCTGGTTTTGGTATGGAATCTATCATATTTTTTGGCTCAGCTCCGTGGACTCTGGCCCATTTTCTCTCTCCTGTAAGTTTGACTTGCGCCAAGCATTCATGCAGGCATCCAGCGGAAGCAAGTCCAACTGTTGCATATTATAGTGAGCCCAGCTTGCATCCATACACGCCTCCTTTGCGAGCAGAGTCCCACATCGTTTGTGGGTGGTGAATACACTCTATGTGTGGGGCTCCCTAAATGTCTTCTAAGGCACACGTATAGTTCAGAGGAGGACCCTCCGTTGGTACCCAGGCATTCGTTTAACCAGGGACCAGCAACTTGCAGTCCTCCAGAAGTTTGGGGTCATCAGCTGTGGCCGGCACAGCCAATGCTGAGATATGGTAGGAATCACAGATCCTCACATCTGGAAAGTGACAAATTACCCACTCCAGTTTTAGCCCCAATATAGGGTCATGAAAGAGCTATAACCTTTCATAGAAAAAAGTACAGCAGTCATTGGGTAAACAGAATGATTCTCTAATGAAAAGCATAAATAAAGAGGGTATTAAACAAGCAAGCAAACTTCCTGCATTGAGATGAGGCCCAGTTTTCTGGTTATTCACTTGATACCAGAGAATTCAACATTAGATGTAGCCTCAATATTCCCTTGAGACTGCATAAATCTGTGTCTTCAAAAATGTTTTCATATGGTGCTTTTCTTTAACTGAGTTATAGTCTTTTTAAAATGTGTTCATATTAGAACAGGCAGTGTTAACAATGTACTGATGTTGAACATCACCCAAATTGCAAAGACTTTTTTTCATTCTTGACAATGAGAGTAAGAAGGTTTAAAGGGTGAAAATGTCAGGAAATAATTTTATATACCAGAATACAGGATCACAAGGGGACTTTGTTAAACTAAACTCAAGTGTAAACCTTGGGACCGCTTTGAGGTATGGCACTTTAATTAATAACAATCCAAATACCAATGGATCATAATTGGAAAATCTATAATTGTCTACAGAGAAGGGGGGAAACCTGTTTTTTGAATGAAATATCAAGAGGATGACTGTGTAATTGCAGGCAACACCCTCCTATAGCAGCTTTCCGCTCATTTCTGCTGCTAGCTGAATATAAAAGAGTTCATTACTGAGGATGCTGTCAATTTAAACTTGTATCTATTAGGTCATGTCTAAAGGGAAAGACAGATTCTTGTTATTTTGGATCATACACTTATTAATGCTATACTTTTTTACAGGAGGATGTGCACTTAAAGTAGAAGTGAGTTGACAGGTCTGCCAAAGTAATAAATGGCATGTGTTAGATGCTAGAGATTTCACACCTGGCCTGATGGTCTTTGGAAGAAATTTGGGGGGGGGGGGTGTCCAACTACTACAGTGCATAAAGGGAATTAAGCAAAGGAAGTGAGAGAAGAGCAGTATCAGTACAAGAGACTTGCCAGGCATGGTTGCAGCGATGGAAATAAGCAGTCTTGTTGTGCTGCCATTGAATTGTTATGCAGCAAAATGAATGGGCCACACAGAGTCATCTTCCAGGGGATACAAACAAGTGGCAAAGTGGTTTCCCCCAGAACTGTACATTAGGGACCATTTCCACCATTACACAGGGACAAACCTGGCCTTGCTGTCCTGATACCTTTGATATTAAATCTTGCCTGCCGACCTGCTTAACCTCTGCATCAGTTTCCCACCCAGGTGCTCTCCAGATGTGTTGAGCTGCAAGGCTCAGCATTCTGCATCTCACCCTGTTGGTGGGGATCATTGGACGTTGGGGGTCCTGCACAACCTGAGGGCACCAGATTGGAGAAGTCTGATCTACATGAAACACCCAGCCTGGGAGAGGTTATTAGAGATGAGGGAGTTTGCTGTTGGTCCCGAAATCTAGTGCAAACCTTGAATGCTCACCGGCTATCGGTGGGAGACTGAATGAATTTGAATTCAGTCCAGAAAAGATGGATCTAGCAGCTCAGTCGGCTCTGTGGACCAGCTGGCTGGGGCTCTGCCTATTCTAGACTGAGTCACGGTGCTCCAGAAGGATCAGGTTTGTAGCTTGGAGATTCTGCTGAGCCCAGGCATGTTCCTTAATTCCCAAGAGATAGCTGGAACTTAGCAGCTTATGCTGGCTGCACACTCTGTCAGAAGATAGATCAGGCCACCTGCATCCTTGACATGGTAACTTCTAGATTGGACCATTGTAAAACTACATATGGTTGCATTTGAAGTCAGTTCCACTAATACAGAACTCAGCAGCTCACCTGTTCCCATACATCATCTCTTTTGAAACATCTGTGCAGGCTGCCATGTTGTTTCCAGGTTTGTTCCAGATTCCATCCCTCAGTTAGCATCCACCAAATAAAGGGCAGTTTCGCCAATTGCTCCCAAATCATGGCGTTCCAACAGCTCCCTCCCTCTGATCTTCCCCAGGAAAAGATGGAAAGCATTTGGTTATTAATTATTTAAGAACTAAATAATTAATTGTGCAGATTAATTGATGTTTTGGCCTGCTCTGCTTTCTTTTTACCTGTGCTACTGCTTTGTTATTGTATTCTGTTGTTGATAGGTTCTTGCTTTTTTTTTTCTTAGTTTCTATTGAATGTTAATCTTGTGAGCCATGATGAAACTTGCAAAAAGAGTGGCCTATAAACTAGTTCTGATATATGAGCATAATGTGGGCAGTTACCCTAAGACAAATTGGAGCCACACAAGCAAGTGCTGATACTGCATTTCAACCTTTTAGAAAAGAGCAAAAGCTGCACAATAGCCAGGAAACCTCCAAATACTTGGAGGAAAAGGGTGGGGGCTATGGAAGGGGGTATGGCCACCTGGGGGACTCTGGAAGGCCAGATTGGAACCCCAGGAGGGCTCGGTTTGGCCCTCAATCTTGGGCTTCTGCACCTTTGCCTTAAAGAAAATGGTGACCAGGAGAAACTTGGCATATTTTGGAGCGTTTGTTGCTTGTGCTCTTTCATTGTGCTCTCTTTTAATCTGCTTTGTGCAAATGCTTTCCTTGTAGCTTCGAATGTCATGGCTCCTCCACGGCATCTTGCTTGGAGATGTTTCCTTGGTCCTTGTCGAGAACAAAACAGGGAAGGAACAGAGCAGGAAGCTCTGGCATTTTGATAACAGAAAAGGATTGGGGGTGTGGCAGAAGATGGTCAGGCCTCTCCGGGATGTAGCAGACAGGTAGGAGACATTACACTTCTTTTTTAATTCTTTGCATCTTTTGTCTCGTGGCCATCTGGGATTTTTAAAGAAAAAAAATTCCTCCATGGAGAGGAGTAATCACCAAGGTCCACATTTCAGTTGATGTCCTGCTGTCCTTTCATGGTTTGTTGTTGTTGCTTTGCAATTCAAGTTGAGTCAGCCGTGGGGGTGTCTGAGAATGAATGGGATCAGAGTAAGCATGAAGAAGCACTTCAGCCCTTACTTCCCGTGCACTGATCCTCTAGAAGATCCCTCTTCTGAAGCTAGCATTTGCCTGGAGAAGAAATCCCATCTCTGCTGGGATTGCATCAATTACCACCACTCTATTTAAAGGTGCATTTAACAGTGCCTCCAGTTAGATCCTAAGACTGAGAGGTTTTCTACACAAGGCATTCATTGTATACACATATCATGCTTTATTCATACGCAAGTTCTTTAGAGGATATTAGGAACATCCAATTTGGTGTCTGTTCTGCTTTCCCAGTTTATTCTAGAATGGGGAAAATGGAGCATTATTTCCAAAAGCAAAAGAAAATTATTTTGCTACATAAGTAACTGTATTATATTGCTATAGCACAGCACAGAGGTTATGTAGAGGAAAAGCAAGAAACAAAAAGCTCTGCAGGGAGCAAATATTGTGTATTTGTCATTCCCAACTCATAGTTATTTGTGGGTTTTTAAGATGATGTTGTGACCCTCACAGTTTACTTCTGTGCTTGACAAGCATTTTCAGTGAGTTTTTTTTTTAAAGCAAGGGGAAAGCAGCATTTCATTGTGAAAGTGAAAAGAAACCAGATTTTTTTCACTTGTGCATTTGTACTATTGTGCTATTCCACAGTGCCATCTAGAGGTTGTATGACAGAAATGAAATGCTCTTGGCGCATTGCTCAGTTCTCAGTTCTTTGACAAAGGTACAGCACATTATCGGCCTTGTGAATAAAAGCTGTCATTCTGCAGTTGCTCTTGAAATCTGATAAATGCATGATAATCCAACATATCTTTCCTTCACTTAGGATTAAAGGTCATTCTGATGGGATGTAAGGAAAGAGTCACTGTGTGTTTTGTTGGGCCCATAATGACGTAGTTTAAAGACAGTTGCCTGAATTAGGTTACAGGTAGGCAATTCAGGTGCTAAATGACTAGGCTTCTGCAAAACCCCAACCCCAGCAGACAATCCACCCCTCCACCAACTGCCCAGTGCTAAAGATGCCAATGAAATTCTCCTACTCACACCATCTAAGGCATTTTCATTTTGCTCCAACACCCTCTCCTCCATGGCCACAAAAATGACCAAAATGTTTGGGTCAGCTCTTGCTTCCCTGGGCAGTGAGAGTTTCCAGGGGCAGCATTATTGGGCTTGATACCCTTTGATGAGAGCATTGGAGACTTGCAGTGAGTCTGTCATATTTGCTTTATTTGCACATTTTTAAAGCAGGGCATAACAAGAGGAAAAAAGGCTCCCCCCTAGGCAGGAGATCCACTAATCCTCATCAGAGATGCCTTGTGACCCAGAGGATTTCATCTTCAGCAGACTTAGAGCTGTTTCAGGCTGTCTTTGATCTCATACCATTCCCAAAGACTACGTCTCTCTCTCTCTCCCCCCCCATCCCTCCCCCACTCTCCCCCTCCCTCCCTCCCTCGCTCACTCTCTCTCTCACACACACACACCCTCATCTAACGTGGTCTCACCATCTCCAAAGTCATGATGTATCCTTTCAACACACTGATCTCCCACTTATCAAAGAACCATCTCCTTATAGCTGCCATTCTGGACTATTAACCAGCAATCAGCCTAATGAAGGAATGATTGACTAGAAGCCACAACAGCATCTATTTATCCCAGGGGCATTTCACACACTAATCTGCAAATATGGAGAGTTACCCTCTCCATAAGCCCTTTTTGCAAATGACACATTTACTGTCTTTGCATTGTGAGGATCTGAGCCTTAGTTCTTTGTTCAACTCAATGCTCCAGGAATAATGAATTTCATTATAAGGGTTACCTTGTAGCCTGAGATATTATGCAGAAAGTGGCTTTCATCTTGCTGACTCTTAAAAGTGCACAAAGGCTGCTAGCACAAAAGGGACAGCGACACTGGATGCATAATTAATATGTAGGATAAAAATATCAACATTTGTCTTATTTTGCCATTCTTCTCTGCTGCCATCACCTTCTGTTGCTTGATTCCATTTAGCTACATTCCCTTTATCTATGCTTTCCTTTGAAGACTGCTTTACTATGTTGCTAGCTTCATTTAAAAGTAATAATTTATTAATGTGTTGCCGAGGTAACATTCTCCCCCCCACACACACACACACACACACACCACCACCACCACCACAGTCATGTATACTTACGGTATTTGCTTGCAAGGTCCTATATTAATGTCAACATTCGACAAACCATTTTACCGCTTTCCATACAACTATGTCAAATGCACCTGATGCATCTTTGAGTGACAATCACAGATAGATGGGCTTCTCTGAGGGAAACTCATCTTTTCCCTGTAATGTGAACTCTGTGCTCTTGAGTAGACCCTAATGCTGCTGGCGTTAGCAGATTTAAGAGGATCTCTACAATTCAAGGTAGGTCTTTTGAAGATCCTTGGGACTGTAAGTAACCAGTGCAGCCACTTTTTCCAACAGGGTTAGAAAAGTATGCTCAGATACCTGCGCATGTAGTACCTATGGAATCATTGCCCATTCACGTGGGTATGTTTCAAAGAATGGAAACTGTGGAAGTTTATAACAGAACTGACTCTAGAGTCTCTCTCTGTGTGTGAATGGGAGAGAAAGAGAAGCCCTGTTCAGATTCTAAAAGCGTCTATTAAATGGGCCTTTGGTGCCACCCAGCAAGGTGTGTTTTTGCTGCTGCTGGCAATGGAAAATGGGAGAGTTCATCTCCATTAAGTCCCATCCACCTAGCCAAATCACTAACACAAACCTAGTGACTGCACCTATCCAAAGCTCTTCTGAAGGTTTGCCCACAGTTGCCACATCCATCCGCCATAAGAGCTCATTGGAGCCTTCACAATTACAGGCAGTATATCTGCCAAAGCCAGTTGGCATGGAAAAACAAGAGAGCATAGTCCTTCCTGCCCTTTTAGGCTATTGTGCTTGAGCCACTCGGTCAGACTGTGTCCCTTTCTTGAATGAGTGTTGCCTGTAAGGGAGTTTCGGTCTTGCTTCTGTTTTCGGTGGCCGCGTGTCATAAAGGGAAAGGTTGTGTTTGTATCTGAGTTCTCTGTTCTGCATGAGGTCTTAGTCTTTTGCTCAGTCTTTTGCAATGTGTAGAACATCGCCCTTACTCAGTCCTACGATGCAACTGCCCGTGGCATATTGTGTACAGTTCTAGTCACCACACCTAAGAAAGGTTATTGTAGCGTTGGGAAAAGTGCAGAAAAAGTCAATGATCAAAGGGCTGGATCAACTCACCTATGAGGAAAGCTTAGAGCAGCTGTGATAGGTTAGCTGAAAAAAAAAGACAAGGAGACACGATACAGGCATACAGAATTATGGTGTGGAAAAAGAGGCATTTTTCACCCTCTCCCATAATTCTAGAACCCAGGGTCATCCCATGAAGCTGATTGGTGGAAGATTTAGGACAGATAAAAGGAAGGACTTCCTTCCATTTATCAGCACACAGGCTAACAACAGAATTCACTGTTTCACAGGAAATGGTGACGGGCACCAGTTTGGAGGGCTTTAAAAGGGGATTGGAGAAATTCCTGGAGGAGCAGGCTATCAATGCCTACCAGTCCTGTTGGCTACGTACTGCCTCCATTAGCAGAGGTGGTGTGCTTGCGGACCCCACTTGCTGGGGCGCTTGGACAATTTCTCCAGTATTAGAGGCGGTGTGCTGGGGAACATGGGCAGAATGGTGCTGTTGTACTCATATCCTCTTTGTGTGATCCTTTGTGTGGGCAGCTGGTTGTCCACTGTGGGAACCAACACTGGACTAGATGGACCTAATCCGGTATGGCTATTCTTACATGATTTCCATTAAGATCATGAAAGCTGGTGTGGTGTGGTGTGGTGTGGTGTGGTGCGGTGGACAGTGTTGGAGTGGGGTCCCAGGACATCCAGTTTCTAGTCCCCACGTGGCCATGAAGTTCACTGGATGACTTTAGACCAGTCAGCAATCTCAACCCAACCTACCTCACAAGGTTGTTGTTGTCAGGATAAAATGGAACTACATAAGCCACCCTGAGTTGCTCACAGAAAGAAAAAAAGTGGGATAGAAATGCTATATTACAATAATAATAATAATATGTAGTAAAATATTTTTTGCATTTTTAATGTAAATAGGTTTCTTTAACTGTGTATGGTCCTGCCCAAAGGCTTGCAATTTAAAAGAGAAGATACAGAATAGGAGAGAAGAGGAAAAGAAGCCAAATCTGGCACCAGTTGCAAAGTTCTGGTAGCGAGCAGCATGAATTGAAGCTGTTCTGGGAGAGGGGAAGCCAAGTGACCTGGTTCTGCTGCTGAGCCAGTGGGGCGGCTGTGCCATCCCCACTGCCTTTGCTGTTGCCAGAGAGAAGGGCTGCTGCTCAGCATCAGTTGCAGGAGGAGCCCGATGCGTTGCTCTTTCATCAGTCATTGGAGCATTTCCACTTTCCATCTCATCTTTTGCTGCAGCCTGATGGAATGACGGCTGCCTCATCCATTGAAGAAAAGGCAAACAAGTGAAGCTGAAAGATAAGCCAGTGACTTGCTCAAAATCTCATTCAAAGTGTGAGAAAGAGGTAGGGAGTGAGCTGTACACATCAAGTCTCCAGAAGCATTTCCTTTCCAAAACCTGCCATTCATTTGATCCAACATTTAACGTACCATTGTTATCTTGCAGCATTACAATGTGAATCACTATATTATGAGGGGTAAGGGAACAAAATGGGATTTGGCTGGAGAAAAAATAATGGGCTGATGTTGGCCCTGAAGACACTGGTTTAAGATATGCAGACTCTGCAGAATGAGCTGAA